AATAATGCAATCGATGATTAAAAAGTGAGTGTCAATGTCAAGATTCAAGAAGGTTTGACTAAAAGCAGCCAGAAGAGATGAACCCCACATGTGTGAGAAAGGCCTGCAGATAAGTTATGGGATGCAATGGATGTGGGGTTTTTCAAAAGTTGTAAGGTACAAAGTGGGAATAGTTTTGTGGCTTCAAAATATAGAAGATAATGGTCACATGTTGGGTGGAATAGAAGAACAAACCATTGGGAATCACATGGCTTTGGTTCTTATTCCTTCCCTTCCATTTGGTTTCATGGCTATTGGTCCTCACATGACCCCAAGCAAAGGAAGAAAAAAAAACTAATCATTTTTAACTTTATTTTGTTCCTATTCTTTTGTATACTCTCCATTAGGAATTGAAGCTTTGCTATTGGAACCACATCACTTGGGACCCATGAAGTGATGTTTGTTTCTTCTTCTTAACCCTGTGAATTTTGGGCATTATCTCTACTCTACCCCACACGACATGTATCAAGAAGCAATGGAAGTAAAAGAATCAAGTTTTATTGCATAGGGAATCCACAATCAACACAAGAATTCAACATGTTCCCTTGCCAACTATAGTTTGGTTAAGGATGGAATCTATTTGAGTTCAATTTTGACGGGTGATTCTGACTTCCTTTAGCCAAATTTTCGTCTATGATTTGAGATGAATGTGAATTTTGTAAGCTAAACACACACCCTCACAAGATCATGACCATTTATTTTGGCCATTACAGCATGTGTGTCACTCGATGCATAAGAGGCGACGACTTGATGTTATCCTTGCCTTCCTTTAGTTAATCATTAAAGATCAACTTGGATTTCCAACCTTAAAGGTGGCAACTAAAAATGCGTGCTACAGTCATTTAAATCTGAAAATTTTAAAGGAACAAGCAAGAAAAAGAATTCTGTAAAATGGACTTGCTACAAGAAAGTTATACCTTACTCTTCTGTACTAATAGCATTGGACAGCATTGGTATAATATAGTGATTTTCAGTACTTGGATTTGACCATGGTTTTTCACCTAAAAACAGGCACGCAAACCAGTTCCGTAATTGTTTCAAGTTTTTTTTAATTTTTTAACTTTTTTCAGATACATCTCTTTGAATTCTTTGAACCTCGTTCCCCATCAAATAGTGACTTCACTCTTTGAACTTCCCCCCATCATTTAGGAAATTAAATATTGGGTTAAGATAAAAGGAATATTTGGGTTAAGCTTTGATTTCAAGGATCAATGTAAAGTAAAAATCCTCGTAGGTTGATCAAATTTTTTTGTACTTCCAGTGATTCCTGTATCAAATCCCTCACCTTTGACCAATAAAGAAAGGTTCAATGCAAAATATATTTGGGTTTCGTTTATATTTAATATTTTTCATGCAGGACCTATTTCTTAGAACAAGTGAAACTATCATAAACTTGTAGACAGTAACCTTTTATCTTTACAAGTTTCTTAATCACAGTTCTTAAGTTCCTGGTTTTGTTTCATTCTGTGGGTAATTTATATCGTTTGGAGATGGAATTTTAAGGTTGTCTAATTTATGATTTTCGTTTCTTAAGACATCGAATACAAAGACTACGTATGTATTTGCCAGCACTGAATCTAAAGATCATGAAAACTATTTTAGGACCTTGTCATATATCTGAAATTCTCCCAGACAGTTTTAGAACTATAATACCAAGAAATGTGTGAAGGAAGAAGAAATGACAAGCAAAAATTAAGGTAGAACAAGTACTAATGATGCAATGACCGATAACGACTAAAAGTTTCTTCAAGCATGAAGATGAAACACGCATGATCAAATGAAAAAATTGGGCAGGAAATAATACAAGACAAATCATCTAAACAGAAGATAGCAGGGAAAAAATTGTACAGGTATTGAATAAATATATGGAAGAGAGTTGAGTTCTTACAAGTTACAACTATTGCAGACAATCTTCAAGCCTTCTTAGTTGAAATCTTTCAGTCTTTTCTTCAGCGTGTCCATTGATTTTTTCCGAGTGCTTTGTTTCGTTTTTCTGCTTGAAAGGCTCCCAAAGATCCCATCTGGAGAATCTTTGAATTTCTCGCATATACTAGCCACCTTCTTGGAATCCAACATGTTGTAATTCTTCTCTCTTATCACAGGATTCATGAAGTTCTCAGGCAGACTGCTCAGCAAGAGGTCAATAAGTTGCCGGGCTTCCACCAAGCAGTTTCTAAAACTACCTCCTTCGTACATTTCACTCAATCCAGTACTTTCGAACCTCTCATCAGCAAAAGTTTCCAGCACCTTTAGATCATTGTCGATAGCCATGACTGCATTAGCATTGAACCTTTTGACACTATCGCTAAGAAAAGCTGAAAATATAGAGTTTGATATGTGTTCGAGCGCCCCACTCCCAACCTTATATAAGGCTTCTAAAGGTAAAATCTGCTGTGCAGTGGACATTATAGTGTCAAGATAGATAAGCACGTCATGTACATAGTCATTCGTACTTGCAGCAACCTCCTCAGAAGTCCAACTAATATTCTCTGTAAGATCCATAAACTCATCTAATTTGGCGTTCACCAAATTCAACAATGCAATATAAGCTGCATCTCTTGATGTTTTGAGAACAATTTTAGCAGCAAAATTAGCTTGTGGCCTTTCTACTGATCCAGCAGGCATCCCGCATAGTTGAGCTGCATAACTAAGGAAAAAGTCACAGGCTCTTTCCAGAACAGTTATATTTGCAGCAATTTGCATGGCTTGAGAAACACCAACGGAACTGCTATAAATAGTATTTAGTATTGCTTCATTTAAAACGTCAGTTAGGAACTTATCTGAATATTTCTTCACAACATCAAAAGTATTAGAATGCACACTGTACGACAAATAATCAACAGACCCTTTAATGAAGGACCTCACAATGCGGCAGACACCAGGAACTGTGGAAGAAAATGGTGCCATATACGGAAATGCAGGCATTATATCTGAAGTCTGGAGATTAAAGGAGAGAACATTGTTTTCATAATCACTATCTTTTTTCATAACCATCTGCTCATAAGAGTCATTAGCAAGAACATCCACTATCTGTTGACGACACTCTTCCAAAAGAAGCTCATGGTATTTGTCGCGGCTTTTATCGAGAGCCTCAAGAACCGGGCCAACTTCATACCCATATTTTCTAAGAGTAGATGCCAAAAGAGTGACATAATCCTTCACCAGGAGAAGGTGGGTTGCTGAGTCCATGAGGGAAAACTGTTCCTCCAGCACTGATGTCAACTTGCCAACAGCAGTTCCTAACATTGCATTGACCTGTTCAGCTGATAATAGCCCTCTAGCAGTTCTCATGGCACGATCCTCCACAATAAAATATCCTGCAATTTGAGCTAAAAATGTCTGATAGGATTCGACAAAAGGCTGACTAGAGGAAATCTGCAAGTCTGAATTAAGTTGCAGCATCCGATTCCTATAGTAATATTCACAAAATTTTTCTTGGGTTCCAAGGCATGTATGAATGTGATATGCCCGATAAAGAGGTGTCAGGTCAAACTTTAGAATAGAGTCCTCATCAATATCTTCAACATCTAAAGTGTACACAAAATCTCCAAGACCTGAAATGCTCTGTTCCTCAGCTTTCCTCTGACGTTCTAACATTTCCTCATCTCTTTGTCGAGCAGTTGCTGCATGACCAATAGCTGTTTGCCCAATAACCTTAGCAGAACTCCTAATGTGAACAAGCCATTCATTAAATTGAGTAAACACTTTCTTCTCAATATGAGATTTAATCACAGGAATTCTTGTCTCAATGACCATTCTTAGTCCCTTGACAGAAATTTTCTGCAAATAATTCTTCTCAATCAGATCGATAGTTTTCAATGCAGGGTAAAACTGGCCTTTGGAGATATAATCATTGCATTTGGCACATAGATCCAACACTTGAACACAATTCTTGGACATTTTGATGGCTTCAGTCACATTTTTTTTTATAGAATAACATTCAAGCAGCTCTTCAAGACCGACTAAGAGAGCACTCCCTACCTCTTGCAATTTAAAATTGTCACTAGATAGTTCACCCTTCAAGTCTTCAGCATCAACCAATACGCCACGAAGTTCATCAACTGCACGAATAAATTCCTCGTAGTGAGTCTTGCACAACTCCTCAATTTCAACTTCTTTCTTCTTTACAACATACTTCAGCTGATGAAGGAGAGTTTCTGGACGCCCCATTTCAAATGCATGTCTCACAATTGGAGAAAGATCTTCCCCATTCCCAATTAATGTGGCAAGGACCATGTCTTCTGCAGTTTCCCCATTCTCTGCAGCACTTCTCCTCTTTGGCTTTACCTCCATTATTTAGATCAACTCTGCAAAAACATAAATATAAAATACACATTAATACAATATGATATCTATATGCTTTACAAATATTAAGACTCAGTTTGCTAAGCCATAAATGCTACAATGAGAGTGAAGTATACGTGTTCAGTCAATATTGATTTCAGAAAAGACCATTGACATGCTAATTACTCAACATAGTCCAAATCACAAGAAGGATATGTAGTAGTTCATAGGACGTATCCTTTATGAGTATTCCATTCCTATTACATCGTGTCTACATTCAGATACTAGAAAACCTGAAGCAAATTTGATGGATTCTGTGCCACATTGCATTGGTGTGGTTTGTCAGCAGTTACAATGCATGGGGTCCTTTTCTACAATCCAACAACAGTTTTCTTGTTTTCACCTCAAGTACAAGTTGAAACTGTGGATGGTCGCATTGTTTTCAAAGTAAAAGGTCTACTTTAAATAAAAAATTTTCTTAGCTACCTAATCACCTAGGGCGGGGAATCCTTTTGAGCCCGCCCATGAGGAAGACTTCAAGGCCCAGAAGGATCATTCTGGATCTCAGTAAAAAGAGGAGCAAATTATAAAAGCAGAGTAACAAAGAAAATGGAAATGAAGGAGGGCCAAACTTGAAGATGACCACTTGTTTGACGGGATGGAAATGGAACAAGTGCCTGTTCAAAGGACTAAAGCTGATTGAAGAAATTTCAACTATGAAAAGTAAATGGGAGAACGTGAAGAAGATAGCCTGACCCTTGCTCCATGAGGCATCAGCACTGGAGTTCCTGGCAAGTGGCAACCATAGGGCAAGTTTTCATTAAAGGTATTTGCAATGGTTGCAGATGGGGCAGTCAAGGCAAGAGGTGCCTCACCCTCACCATAGGCACATACCTCAGTGCACCAAAACAACACTGGTAGCAGCCATTGATAGTAATCGTAAGCCACCCATGCATTTCACTTATGTAGGGCAAAGGCACAGGGAGGAAGTTAGTAGTTGATATCTCGGTAATTTGATGGTTAATCACAGTTAGGACAGCTGATTGGGAGCCTAGTTGTGTTAACTGCTGGGAAAATGAATAATTCAGCGCTGACATGTACAGATAGGGTAGTGTATAGTAGAAACTAAAGGACAGTTCAAGCCTCTTGAATTGCCCAGTATATTACACTTCTGAGATAATAAAGTACCCACTAATTCCAATGTTGATTCCTAACAGATTCCTATCATAATCTTGCTTGCTTGAAACATAAAAAACTAACTGCAGATGGATTGGATGGTAATAGAGCATAACCCCTCAAATTTTAAAAATGGATTTAATGTACCCAGAGTATGATAATCTACTCCCAGACCTAACCAAATTACTGCATCATCAAAATAAGAAAATATAAATAAACTAATAAACAGCACCCACTTTGACGTAAAACTGAAGTTAGAAGCCTTGTTGAGAATATAATAAATCACTAAACAAACTTCATCTTGAACTTTTGGTCCGGTTATTTAACGTGGTATCCAAATATGAGACCAAACGCTTTTAGGCCTAACGGAATCCTCAAGTAATGAACAAGGAGATAATAAACAAAAACCATAGCAGAAACTTTTACTGCTACAACACAACTACTTGAACAAAGGAAGATGGGTGCAACATAGATGCCCGCGGGAGCAAGATTGTGAGGACGAGCGGCTGTAGGAATATCTACGTAGTCGGGAACAACAACCTTCAATTGAACCCAGAAAGCAACTAAGTCTAACAAGAATTTCCAACTGAAAATTGCGAAATGGGGGACAAATCCCTGCAGGGGATCTCATGGGAGACACAAAACAATTGATATCCATACCGAAGACTACTCCAAATCACCTCTAGAACTTAAACACACATAAATTAAAAACGATTTCATTTCATTTCAGATATGTCAGAACATAAATTTCTCCAATCCACAAACCTTCAGTGGAGAATTTGATCAAACATCGAGAGGTGAAGGCTGATGATGAATGGAGAGATGGCCGTCACACACAAGCCACAAATGTGAACTCAGGCGACCTCATCGGCGTCCGGCAATGACAGAGGAACACTAAGAGAAGCAATAACTCGTCCAAGAGAGGAAAGGCCACCAGGTCACGTTCGACAGTAAGAGAGAACTTCCGACTTGGACAGAGAACGAGAGAGGAAATTTCAAGAGGCTGGAGCGAGTTCTACTGCCGGAGAGAGAGCTTCTCTCTTCGATTATGGAAGCTGAAGTGATACCTGAGAGAGAGAGAGAGAGAGAGAGAGAGTTTACAGAGAAATGTAGAGGACTGAGAGGATTCTGTTTCTGAAGAGAGTACCAACGCTGAAGGTTGAAGACGAAAAAGTTCGTAAATATATCATCTTTTAAGGCTAAATATGTAATTTCGTCAATGTATAAAAAAATAATTTTGTCCAATTTTATTTTTATCATTTTCCTTTCGAAGATAACTCATTTTTTTCTTTAAGAAAGTTTATTTTACGATCATAAATCAGAGAATTCGACTTCTCACCGTCTTAAATGCTGAGTTATTATTGTTAATTCTTTTTTTAGTACAACGTGCGGGATGGGGTAAGTATCTTCCTCCTGTCCGTAACTAAAAATGAAATTAGATTCTCTGTTTATCTATTTAATCTAATTCAAGATTCAATCAAACACTACATTAATAATTGAAGAGCTATCATATCAAGATTTAACTATTATTTTTCATTACTCTACTAAATTCTTGAAACCTAGATGCAAGGATTTATATCATTTTAGAGAATTCCAACGATGCTTAGAATCAAGCAAATCTAAAGAAGCTTTTTCTGCTGCTTATTTCTGTTGGGAAAAAAATCATAAAGTTATATCAGCAAAGGTTCGAACTCACCCCATGATTGAGATATGTGTTAATTCTGCTTTTATCTTTGAATATTGTAATTTATTAATAACATAATAGTTAACTATAATTTTAATCCATAAATTTTTATGCTGTATCAACGAAGCATTTAAAAATATGAAATTTTCAATTATATCTTTAAATTTTGATTTTTTAGGTTATATAATTACTCAACTAATTATGTTACATATCCCAACAAAAATGTCGGAGGTCCAAATTCAAAACCCTATATTTATTATAGTAAAAAGATTAAAAAAATATAATTAACTTGCATTAGCTAACATAGCATAGTTCATCAGTTAAATCATCTTTTTTTTTATCTATAAGTTAGAAGTTCAATTTATCAACATCAAATTTATTGTACTAAAGAATAAATATGCATAAGAAGCTACAGCTCTTAATAAGTAAAAGTTAGAAACTTCTCTGGATATTTAGCAAATTAGAATGAAAATTCAAATTTATAATTTTATAATTTGGAATTTAAAAGTATTCAAAAGAAAAGAAAGGAAGAAATGAAAAAAAAAACAGAATATATATTTTCTTTCTCTTTTTTTTAACAGAAATATATATTTTCTATTCCACCTTGAAAGTTCCGAAATATCATAAATAGACAAAGAAAGTGGTCCAAATTGCATTATATTTAAATTAGGGGTGTAAATAAATCTAATGACTCGAAAAATTCGATGAATCCAAAATTGCTTGAGATGAGTTGTATCTTTACAAATTTGATTGGTTTATGAATTATTTCAAAAACCACTTTTAACTTGAACCAATCGTACTTAAAAAAAAAACAAAAAATAAACCTTGAACCAATCCACCCAAATTTATTTTCGAAATACATATATATATATATATATATTTTTTTTTTTTTAAGATATTCATATGTCTATTTTATTTTTATCTCACTCAATACTTATTTTTAGATAGTTTTCTACTATTAAAACAACATTTAAAATTTTATTTTAATTCTCGATAGTACAATTTTTTATTAATTAAAAGTTAACATTGATTTACTCATTCGAATTCAATGTTTGAAACTATAGATGCCCCAAACTAATGTCCACACTATTTCTTTTAAGTACAACAATGACCTCACTATTGTTTTTTATTAAAAAAAAAAAGAATGACATTAGTAGCGAGTAGAAATTAATTCAATCCAAATATTTAATGATTAGGTTGGTACAAAAATGACCAATTCCGCAAAACTTGAACTCGGGTAGGTCGACAATCACTTAGAACCTGACTAGAGGGAGAAAATATTTTCTAACGCTCAAGTTAGCTTAAATATGATTCATAAGAAAATGTTTTCTAACGCTCAAGTTAGTTTAAGTATAATTTATATTCTGAGAGAAGATAGTATATCGTACCTCAAAAATCAATTGGAACTCTCTATTTATAGGCTTTGGGTTTTCAACATCGCTTGGATAGTTGTTATGACCATCTTGAAAAATTACAGTGTGTTGTTGAAAAAGCAATTAAAGACAGCAACAGGCTATGTTGTGATCATCAGCTCGTCCCTTACGAAGGTTGGTTGTTGAGATGTTTTATTGGTCGGCTCGGCCTTCACGAAGTTCCTGACAACCAATAACGTATTTACATCGGCTCGGCTAGGAAAGATAGTCGAGTTGTTTAGTTTTTCTTTGAAAACTTTGACCTTCAAACTATATCATTACGATGACTTAGTATTTTTTGATGCTTCAGAAATCATCTCCAAACAGCCAGCATGATCTTATACTAATGCCTCCTCTGGTAGGTTTTAGATTCAAATCATCAGTGATGTTGTTTACTGCTATAGGAGGTGAATTTAAAATCAATATTAGGCAAAATTGTATTAGGGTTTGTGTAAGGTTAAAAAAAGAGGTGAATTTTGGGGAGGGGAACTTATAAGAGAAATAGATGGCCATAACAAAACGGTAAACATATAGAGTAGTAATGATCTCACCCCACATGTTGTACTAAAAAAAAATATAGAGCAGTAGTGATATAAATATTTTGAGAAATTTAACACAAAAGAAAATAATAGAATTTTTACGATCATAAATACTAATTAACGAAACCAATTACAAAAACTATATTTTAGAAGGTTTTTTTTCTTATTAAATTATGAGTTTAGCTCTTTAGCTTTCAAAATCGTGTCTAAGTCCATAAATTTAAAAAAAAAAAAAGTTTATGGATTTCCTAAATTTGTAAAGGTTAAAAAGTAAGACTTATTAGATGTTTTTTTAGGACATTAGAATTTTGCCAACGTTTATAGGTTTTTCCTGTAAAAAATTGTATCTTAGAATCGAGTTTTTTTTTCTTTTCAGAACATAAATAAAAATATTGTTTTATCATTATTGAATTTATGAGGTGTTGGGGTCACACAATCCTATTTTTTCTTTTAAAGAGTAGGAAACAAGAACATTATCAAACTAGTCGATATTAACTATGTTGGAGGCGAATTATCACCCGTCACGTGTCAACATCAGAGACCCTCAACTACCACGATGATTAGAAGATCCAAATGAAAAGATTCATGTGGACAAGTCCAAACAGCTCTAAAGTAGAATCCGAGACAAGTCATTATATCTTATCTTTCGACTTACCTTTGTCAGATCTTGAAAAGCACCTGACAAGCATAAACGCAATAAACATGTTCTCCAACAAGGCGCATCAACTCTTGGACAGTTGAAGAGTTATCAAGAACTTACCTCTATAAATAGAGATTCCGACTTTCATCTAAATTACGTGAAACTATGCTCTAAAAAAAGATTCGATTGTATATTGACTAGAGTATTGAAATGCTAATTTTACTTTGCAAATCCTACATACATCCGTAATAAAAATTGGAACTTCAAAACCGAGTTTGTCATTGTCATTGTAAAGCGTAGGGATTGTTAAAATCAAATAAGGAAGATCCATAGACTTCATAGAGAGAAAAAAGAAAGCTCCAAGGGAATGGAGGGAAGCTTTGGCGGCGTTCCCGAATGAAATTGAAAGGCACGTGAACCAAGAACTGACCCTCCAGTCTCGAGCATCGTCTCGTCTCCTCAAGCAGCCAGGTGTTCCTATGGCGTAATTTCAACAAGATTCGCCTCCCATGTCCGGCGCTGACAAACAAAAACAAAAACCCATCTCGCTCGCACCTCGATTCCCAAGAGAATCGAATCCCCACTCTCCAAATACATGGATTCCCGGGAATTGGCAGCTTTAATCTCTTCTTTGATCTCCCAACTCCTCCTCCACCTCTTCCTCCTCTTCCCTTCCTCCAATCCACATTCCCTTTTGTCCAATTTCGATTCCGATTCCGATTTCTACGCAAATGCTTTCCCTCTCCTCACCCACTTCCTCTTTTCGCAGGAAATTGCTTCCTCCCTTTCATTTCTCTCGGTTTCGCGTAAGAGGAAGAGAACCCATTTGCCGGAGCAGCTCGAATTGGAGCCATCTGGTGGCGGCGGCGGCGGCGGCCGTGGACGAGTCCATTTGTTGTGGACTCGAAGGCCCGACTCGTTCAGAAATCACTTCAGAATGACCTCCTCAACTTTCGAATGGCTCTCCGGTTTGCTCGAGCCCCTTCTGGAGTGCCGCGACCCGGTTGGTTCGCCCCTCAATCTCTCCGCCGAGATTCGACTCGGCGTCGGCCTCTCTCGGCTGGCCACCGGCTGCGATTTCTCGACAATCTCCGAACAATTCGGCGTCTCGGAATCGGTAGCTCGGTTCTGTGCTAAGCAGTTATGTCGGGTTCTCTGTACCAATTTTCGCTTCTGGGTCGAATTCCCCTGCCCCAATGAGCTCGAATCTACATCCTCAGCGTTCGAAGCCCTCGCGGGGCTCCCGAATTGCTGCGGCGTGGTTGCTTGTACAAGGTTCAAGATCATTAGAAATAGCCATTTTTATGAAGATAGCATCGCTACTCAACTTGTTGTTGATTCCTCGTCACGAATCCTTAGTATTGTTGCAGGATTTCGTGGCGATAAGGACGACTCGACGGTGCTTATGTCCTCGACGCTGTTCAAAGACATTGAAGAAGGAAGGCTTCTGGATTCTCCTCCGGTTTACCTTCATGGGATGGCTGTGAATCAGTACTTTTTTGGACATGGCGAATACCCTCTGCTACCATGGTTAATGGTGCCTTTTTCAGGAGCTGTTTCAGGGTCAACTGAAGAGAGTTTCAACAAAGCCCACCGATTGATGTGCATTCCAGCTCTAAAAGCGATCGTTAGCCTGAGAAATTGGGGAGTTCTGAGCCAACCAATGCGTGAGGAGTTCAAAACTGCAGTTGCTTATATTGGGGCTTGTTCAATTCTTCATAATGCTTTGTTGATGAGGGAGGATTTTTCTGCCATGGCTGATGAATGGGAGGGCTTAGCTTCACTTGATCATGGCTCTCAGTATATTGGGGAGGGATTGAATGAGGATTCAACTGATGAGAAGGCTTCTGTTATTCAGAGGGCACTGGCTCTGAGAGCTAGAGAGCTTCATAGTTGAAATTTCATCACAAGAATCCAGTTGGTTTGGTGAAATAAGTACAGCCCATTTGAAGAGATTTCATCTCTTTGGATATTTATTGAAGGCAGCTCATCCAGCTCCATTCAACAATTACTATTGTAGGTAATTGATGATTCTTTTACAAATCAATATAGCAACACATTCTCTCCATCTTTTCTGGATGTTTTAGCTTTTTATTTATCATATCTTTTCTTTACAAAACTGGTCTCAATTTTTGAGTTTTATGTCTACACATTCTCTCCTTGTTGTTTGTTGGAGCTGGAATTGGGGTGGGTAAAGCCTTGGTATATTAGTGGATATGTCATGAGCTTAATGCAAGGAGTGAGACCCCAGTTACAAAAATTTAGTGCCTTAAATTCCCCACTTCTCCCTTCCTTATGGGACTGCAAAACCCTCTCCCTGGCTCTCTGTTTGCTGCCACTGAACAAAAAGGAAACCATTGTTTTCAAGAAAAGTCTGATAGGAGTTGTAAATCTGTAAAGTCCCGTCTGGTAACCATTTCGCGTTTAGTTTTCTGATTTTGATAATTATGCTGGTTTGCTCACAATTTCTTTAAACCATTTCTTAGAAACACAATTAAACTCTTAGTCAAATTGCAAAAACAAAAACTACTTTTTCTAAACTACGTTTTTTAGTTTTCAAATTATAGCTTATATTTTTAAAATGTTTTTAAAAAGTAGATGCAAAGCAAAGAAATGCCTAGGTAAAAGTAGTGTTTACGAGCTTAATTTTAAAAAATAGAAAACCAAAAACAAAATGGTTATCAGATGGGGCCTAAGTTAGCAGTTTAGGGGGAGACATGAAAGAACCAAGTGCTTCTTATAGTACCTTATAATGTTTATAGTAGATCTCGAAGGTGCAACCGTGTATAATTTCTTTATGGATGGTGCCACGTCCATTCAGAATCTAGATTTTGAACAACAAAGTTCTATGCAGATTTGATTGGACTGGAAGATTCCAACGTCTAATGTAGGGTTTGCCATGGGTGTATATTCATTCATATATTGTTCTTCACAGCATAAAAAATGAAGACGAATTGTGATAAATCTCTTTCTCAAAAAGCTGTCTGTGTAAGAACAAAAATGACTACTTTTTAGTCAGATTGCTGTTAGAAGTCCTTTGGCAGCTGGAAATGGCTGCTTGTTCCATGTTTGAACTTGAAGAAACCACATACTTATCTGTTTTTTCATTGGTTATAGTCCAACCTTTCTTCTGTTAGAAATACTATTGGGATAACATTAACGATATTATTAGGATATTAAGGGCATATTAGTCATTAGCTACGGTTCGTTCGAAAGTGGTTATAAGTAAAACCGGTTGGAGCCAGGAGGGGTTAGAGATAGGCAGATTCTGGAAATCGTTTGATTCTAAGAAAACATTGAGCATTTCTTGAATGCTTAGTAAAAAGCTCCTTCTATTTCCTTTGATATTATGCATTTTAGTCCCTATTTTCTTGACTGCAAATCTCAAGTTCAGGTTCCTATCAAAATCTTATGAATTGGAAGTGAAAATCGTTGTCCCGAAATCAGAAACAGGAAAAGAAATCGACTAAGCTGAGCAGCTGTTGCAGAGGATTTAAACTGTGTTATTGATTATGACACCGTCCTGTGAGTTTTGGTGTTTTAGATTCAGGATGTAGGATAAACAATGGGATAGAATTGTTGCAGTTGACTTGTCTCATTAATTTTCTTAGGAATTTGATGGAACTTCTGATTCATTTCGTTCCGATAATCGGGGCCTATAGCACCTATGGTTTGAACTTACGATCTAGGAAGCATTTCCAGAAGTTTTATTCTTGCTCAAACACGCGCACACATATCTCTTCATTGCTTTTTTTGAGAAATGTTACATTTTATAAGGTAACAAAAAGTAGCGAATCGTGTATCAAAATTATATAAAGTTGTATCGAACAGTTCTGAGTTATAGAATTTGGTTTAGATATACATTGGATATTCAGATTTGCAAAGTTCGATTAGATTTCTTGAGAATGTTGTTATAAGTTATAACAATTCATATTTGGCATATCAAAATCTTGAAGTGATATTGGAAGACAAATAGCACAATATCTCTCATTACTCCACTCGAAACCGCAATGGGAAAGAACTCAAAATTTTGATTTCAATGTCTCCATTTTGACATATCATATTATCCATCTTCAATCCCTATATAGAAAGTTTCGTATTGACGATGTGAGACTTTGTTTATTCGTGCCTTAACTATGATATGATGAAAGATCAGTGAACCTCTCTTCGAACAATTATTTACTTTTATTCCGAGCACATTATTGTATCATATGGTTGGATAAATATTAGTCAACATTTTCCTAATCTTCTAAGATTTCAACCATATAGTTGGGAAGACTTTGCGACCATTTTATTTATTTAATGCTACTTGTTGGGTTAACTATGAAGATATTAGGTATGTCCCATATTGTATACCTTGAAATTAGAGCCAACATGTGTTTATGAAAATAATTTTTGTTAAATGACCAATTTAGCCTTCAACTTTGACAACTGTCTTGTAGATCTCTAAAATTTTAACTTTGTGTCTAAATTTTCAATTATGTTTAATAGTAATCAATCTATTCTACGTTTTTTAAATTTCATTGATCTATTAGATACAAAATTAAAAGTTTAGGATTATATTAGACACAAAATTCAATTCAATTTTATGTCTCATAGATCCCTTATTTTCTTTAGTTGGATAAGTTAAAGATCTATTAAATACAAAATTAAAAATTCAGATATTTATAAAAATACTTAAAACTGAGGAATTTATTAGACACAAAATTAAAAGTTTCATAAGTCTATCGAGTGCTCCTTAAAGTTCAAAGACCTAATTATAATTTCACGTAATATTTCCCATCTATAAAAAAAAACAATTTAAATTAAAAAGTATGGAAATTTGACATAAAATCAAATTTTCTTCTTTTCCTTTTTCTATTTATTTACTGGATTAAAATCTCAATTTAGAATTAAAAAAATAATAATAAATAGTGGTGGTGGGGCCCATGAGTTTTGTCTTATACACACGTGGCAGGTGGAATTGGTAAGTCACAAATGTTTGGTGAAGGAAAAGGAACAAGGAATTGGTTCCCAAAGGCAGTTGGCCGGTTTTTGCTTTTTCTTTAAGGAAAAAAAAAATACTCGAATGAATATTTAAACAAATAATCAATTGATATATTATTTTCATTTTATGAAATCACATTATTCCATCTTAAGGTGAGTACCTCAAAAATTTGCCAAAAAAAAAAAAATCAATATTCATAATATCACAATTTTTATCCATCAAAACCAAAAATTTCGAAAATGAGGATTTCAATTTTTTTTTTCTTTTTGAAAAATAAGGAGTAAGTGAAATTGCAAGAGAAAATAGTTAACATCGACACCAAACAAACAACCATTGCATTTTAAAGCAATAATTTCCCTTTGGTTTACCAAATTTCACAAGGCAAAGTTGAAGCCTTCACCAACCACCACCCCCTTTGCCACCTTCCAACCACCGCTCTTCTTCCCTCTTATATAAACGAACCCACAACTATATGGTTTCATCTCGAACGTAAGAAGAAACTCCGACAAAGGCGAAGTGGTGAAATCGAGAAAGCGGTCTCCTTCTCTGCCATGGCAACCAATGAGCAACAAAACCAGGCAGGAAGGCACCAAGAAGTTGGCCATAAGAGTCTTTTGCAAAGTGATGCTCTTTACCAGGTAAATCATTCAATCATCATTGGAAAATTACAATGGGTAGCAAAATCTTTTATGTATTTCAAAATGTGTTACCTGTTTTTAAAAATTTTCACTTATATAAGTAATTTATCAATACTCATATTAGTAGTATATCAGACACGATATCGGTAGTGTATTAGATGTGTATATCACATGCATAAAGCACAGACACTCATATCAGTAATATATCACATATATATTGCAAGTATATCAAACACTCATATCAATAGTATATCAGATATATATCACAGTAGTCAGATATATTAGAGTATATCATTTAGACAAAATTATCATTTTAAAATTAGACCTCTATTTTTTTTAATTTAAAAAATTAACTCTCTTTCTCTCTCTTTCTTTCTCTCTAGTACATTTTAGAGACAAGTGTGTACCCAAGAGAGCCAGAAGCCATGAAGGAACTTAGAGACTTGACAGCCAAACATCCATGGTCAGTTCATTAATTTTCTTTTCTCTATGCAAAAATTGGTTTATTTTACCCTCATATTAACACTACCAAAATAAATAGGAATATAATGACAACATCAGCAGATGAAGGGCAGTTCTTGAACATGCTCTTGAAGCTGATCAACGCCAAGAACACGATGGAGATCGGCGTATACACCGGCTACTCCCTCCTTGCCACCGCTCTCGCCCTTCCCGACGACGGAAAGGTCGATAGAAACATGTTTGGCTAACCATTTACAGAGCTTCTGTTATTAGAGAGAAAAATAAAGAGTTGAAAAGAAGTTTGTAATTGCAGATACTGGCGATGGATATTAACAGAGAAAACTATGAACTTGGGCTTCCGGTGATCCAGAAGGCCGGCGTGGCCCATAAGATTGAATTCAAAGAAGGCCCAGCCCTCCCCATTCTCGACCAACTCGTCGCTGACGTAAGCTTTAGCCCTCTTTTTCTTTTTTTCTTTTTTTAAAATACGTGGATATTGAGGAATAATCGTGTGCGGTGGGGTGCAGGAGAGTAACTGTGGGACGTACGACTTCATCTTCGTGGACGCTGATAAGGACAACTACATCAACTACCACAAGAGGCTGATTGATTTGGTCAAAGTTGGGGGAGTGATCGGCTACGACAACACCCTATGGAACGGCTCCGTCGTGGCAGCACCTGATTCGCCGATGCGTAAGTACGTACGCTACTATAGGGACTTTGTGCTGGAGCTCAACAAGGCTCTCGCTTTGGACCCTAGGATCGAGATCTGTATGCTTCCGGTTGGTGATGGGATCACTCTGTGCCGTCGGATCAACTAAAACAATCTGCTGCTCAACCCATTCCCCATGGCCTGAATTTGTAATTTTTTCTGCTTTTTGATTTCCTCATAATTTCTCTTCGTCTTCTAAATTCAATGACGGAAAGAGCAAAATGAGATATTCATTGAATAAACATGATACTTTTTTGTTTTCTTTATTATTATATTTTGCTTATTTGTGGTATGCCCATGGGTAAAAAGATTCAGCTCTTTAAATTCCCAAGACAAACTAGAAAATTATTGGTTCGATACAATTTAATGGGGAACAACACCAAACTTGAGAGAGAGAGAGAGAAATTATGTTATTAAATAAAATGTTTCGATATTTTTTTGGTACATTATTATTAGAAAAATGTAATTTTAGAAAAGATAATTTTAATCCTAATTTACAAAATTTCAACATAAATATTATACATAATAAAGACCCTTCTACAAAATTTTATGGGTATATTTTTAAAATTTTGTGGGTGGAGTGTTATGTTAAAATTGCACTAAAAATAAATGAGACAAAAATAAAAATGAAGGATCCAAAATAATTATTTTAAAAAGTACCAAGATTTTGAAAGTACAAAAACTAAAATAAACAAAAGTTAAAATAACAGTGACCAAACTAGATGTTATGAAATTACAGGAACCGAAATAAACCAAATCCAAAACTACACGACCAAAATAACCTCCTTTACCAGTATGGTTGATGTAAATGTTGTTCAGATATTGTTTATTTGTAGAAAAGAAAGAAAAGAATTTCAAGCCTTGATCATAACTTTCCGAATCAAAACAGCCAAATAACCATAAAACCAAAATAGCCCCCTTTTAATACTTGGTTTGTTTCAGTTTCAGTCACCATTTAGTTTTCAATTAAAGTCTAAAACAGAATCGATCTGTGACTCTTAAATGTAAAGGAATATTCAGATTTGTGTAGTTTGGAGAAAGCCATGCTAACATTTAGATTCTAAGCTTGGTAATCCAAGGGTAGAATTACACAACTTCTTAAACTTGGTACATATTACTTTTACAAATCACAAGCTTACGAACTAAATAAAAGCTCCAAATGATCAGACTACTCTAACTATAGAATTATAAAATCAATGTTTGTTTGAGATTTACGATTTGTAATACTTAATGGAATAAAAGGTGGGTTCTACTATCATAGCACTATGGAGTTCGACGGATTAGCAAACTCAGAATAAGCAAACCTATGACTTTTTAATACTTAACTATACAAACCTGACTCATGGCTTTACACCATCTTTCAGTTTCTTCGGAGTGATGCCAGACCACAACCAAAATTAGCCCAAGTCAAAACATTCACTCATGGTTTTAAAAATAACCAACACCTATGCAATATATCATCAATTCAAGGGTCCAATTTTCAGCAACAGCAAATTCCAATGCATCAATAACCTATGTAAAACTTGCAGATACTTTAAGAAGAAAAGGAATGAAGAATTCTCATACAGTTTGCAAAACAATTGAGGGAAACTCCAAATGACAACACTTTCAGTCACCCTTTAACATCTATTTCAAAGTTCAAACCCAGAAAGGAGTTCAATAGCTAGATGATCATCTTCAACAAAAATGTATAGAATATAAATTATCATTTATCAATAACAATGGCTATTTTTCTTCATAACGACCTTCATCTAAAACAAACAGAAATGACTGGGAGATAAATTCAGATGTTCCAAAAAGCATTTTGATTGCAATTATCGTAATATCAACGGAAACTCAAGTCTTCCAAATCCAAATACTTATACTAGAGCATGAACTGAAGTTACTGAACCATAAGTTTAAGTCTCCGAAACTATGTGAACTTAGAACCCAACAAAAATAATCATTACCGACTAACGCCTCTCCGCCATAGTTCCCAAGTAGTCTTCGATCAACGATATGATTTCTGAAACCTAGCACGAGCACCACGACCACCAAACTTCTTGGGCTCACAGCGTCTAGGATCGGCAACAAGCAAAGTCCTATCATACCTGACCAGAATGTCTTTGATCTCCTTCTTGCTCTGTTCGTCGACGTACTTCTGGTAAAACGCAACAAGAGCCTTGGCGATGCTCTGGCGGATGGCGTAGATCTGCGAGGTGTGACCTCCACCCTTCACCCTGATACGCATATCGACACCGGAGAAACGGTGGCGTCCAAGGAGGAGGATGGGCTCATAGGCCTTGAAGCGCAAGATCTCTGGCTCAACCAGCTCGATTGGACAGCCATTGATCTTAATCAAACCCCTGCCGCGCTTGCAGTACGTGACGGCCACAGCCGTCTTCTTGCGTCCGAAACATTGCACCGATTCGATCGGAGCCGCCATTGTTAGGGCTTGATAGGACTACCGGAGTGAAGGGCTCGAATGTAATCAGATCGTTCAGGAGCTGGGCAAAACCTACAGAAATATATATATGTGATTGTTTTTTAGGGTTTAGGAGTTGCAAAAAGTACCCTCAATTTATCACTAAATTACGAAACCCAACCCCTCACAACGCACCGTATTGAGTTTTTGTTTGTTATTTCTTTTTTCTTTTCTTTTTAACATTTTAAGAGTTTTGAAGATTGTACCCATGGTTTAAATTAGGGAAATTTAGACTTTAGAGTAGTGTCTCAATTGGGACGCCCATTTTAAAATATGACAATGTGGTAATTTATTTGCATTCTTCGTACAAACTCAACAATATCTCCTTAAACAAAGTACTACTGAGATCCTCTCAAGTAGTCACTCATCCGTCCACTCTCGAACTCAAACGCGAGTTTGCTCTTATTCAAAGCTCCAGACACATCCGAATAGAGCACAACCACGAATTACTCCATGACTACATCTTCCCAAGCACTTCTTTGTCCGACATCTAAAGATTTCACCAATACAACTAGGTTTAAACCGGCTTTAATACCATTTGTTAAGGACAAGTGTAGCCCAAGTTATCCAACTTTTAGATTTATTGCTAGATTTTAAAAATTGGGATTTACTAGCTAGAATGGATTCTGTACTAATCATGGGACCAAAAAGATATCTATAACGAGTATTAGTCGTATAGAGTTTTGAAAATTATACCCGTGGTTTAAATTACCAATTTGAACCCTAGGATTGGTGTGATTTAGACGATTTGGTCTCATAGTTTGAAAGGTTTCGACTTGGTCCAACAAATTCTCAATGATTTGGAAAGATTTATTTAGTCAAATCTATCAAAAAGTTGTTTTTCATTTACATGGCTATGAAAGTGTTACAGGTAAGATTGAAATTAAGCACAAATCTGTCCAAAGAAGAATAAATAAGCACAAATCATAGAAATTGAATTGTATTATTAAGTTGACTTTTGTTTATTATTAATTTTCTTAAACAATATTGGTTTTTAATTAATTGATTGATTTAACTTTAAGGAAAAAATAACACTTTTTAATGAACGAATAAGCTTGATACTTAAGTGTATATATTTATAAAATGAGTTATGTGAATAAAAACTAATGGAAAGAAAACTTTAATACTGTTCTAGTTCAGTAAAGACTTTCTGCTTCACAACTTGAAAACATGAATCAAATTTAAACTAGCAATGGTTAGGATAAAGAGAATATTTTTTTACAAAAATAAAGATATAGAATCCACAATTATAAATATTGGAACTTGACTCTTCTTTGTTCCTCCCTAAAAATCAATAATAAAATAGAAAATGTCAATGGATTAAACACAATAGATCCGTAGCAATTCTCTGCTAGACTAATTAAAGCATATATCATCAACCACGTCAGAGATTTGAATCCCCACTTCCGTCCTAAAAAAAACCTATGTGCATATTTATTTACCCATAGAGAGTACAAGTTTCCAAAATTAAAGCTCTACAAAGATAATAATCCTAATTCCACCATTCACTATGAATCTAAAATCAAACCAATATTTATGCCAATCAGATATAAGGAAGAGTTCAGGGTAGGCAAAACATATATCAGAAGACAGTAGCATTACCTCAGATTAATGTCAAAAAAAGTAGACCTTCACCCTAGGGGGAAAAAAAGGAAAAAAAGAGTACCATAAAAGTAGAAAAGCTACCAAAGCCAAAAAAAAAAAAAAAAAACTAACATCCAAAATGTCAGCAATCTTCAGGAGATAAAAACCCAGTACAAACAAATGCAAGTACCGTGCCTCCACGAAAATAAACAGTCAATCGTATCTCACAACTACTACAGGTTCCATTTCATGAATCGGGGAGAGAGCTGTATGAACATATTAACCAACTCACGATACGAGGTTGTCGGTCAGCGACAGAGAGGCTAGCTGATCAGCTGCGTTGCCAGCTTGCTGCTGCTGAGCTGCTGCTGCCACATTCCTCAAGACCTCCATAGCCTCAGCTACTTTGGCCTTCAAAGCCTCTGGCGACTCGAGTAAATGTAAAACCTCGGTCTGGTCCATCTCCAGGAGCATGCCGGTTACCTTGGCTGCATTGTCGGGCTCCAACTGTTCCACAAGTGGGTAAAGATTCTCCCCCAGCATCTACATTCATTCGTGAGCAATAAAAGACTTTCAGTGACCACAACTAGCTGGCTAGATATATGCTTTGCGAGAAAATAAATTTAATTATTTATTTCCATGTTTATTTCTCTCTGAACATCTGTAGGTATTATTTAAAAAGAAACATCTGTAGGTATATAATAATAGGAAATTCTTACTGTTCTCTGCTGGTCTGGAGTAGCATTTGCTAGAGCAGAAGCCAGAGCACCTATTGGGATAGGTTGAGAGAGCGCCGCGTCCCGCATCGGCAAACCACCCATGTCATATGGAACAGAAAACATGCCTCCAGCGACACCAGGCATAGGAACATCAGGCAAACCTCTTCCTGGAGGATAGCGATAGACACGCCCTCTAGGTACCATCTATCATCCAATGCACCACCAAAAAAAGACATTAAATAACTTCAGGAAGCTGACGGAAGAAACAAGGATATATAAAAATCACCAACCTGTTGTTGCATCATTGGAACAGGCTGCTGAGATTGCTGGACAGCTCCTGCACGTCTGCCACCAGGGCGCTGGCCTTGCTGACCCTGCTGAACCATTGGAACAAAGAAATTTGGCATTGGACCTCCACCGGGCCTCATACCAGGAACAAGCTGCTGCTGATAACCAAAGCCAGGCTGACAACAATAATACCCATAAGACAAACAGAATAACAATTCAGATCTAGCTATCATAATCATATGCACACTGCACCTTTCAGAAGGCAAGACTAAAAGGATAGAGTCAAGGATGAACATGTAAAGAACTTCAATAAAATTTAATCACAGCAAGAACTGAAGGTATATACATAGAATTAAAGTGTTCGGTAAAATAAGGATGCCGTAAAAGTAGTTATTACTTGAGAGGGAATGATTGTAGGAGGAGCTTGACCATAAAACAATTGTTGTCCAAGACCTGGACCACCAGGGGGATACATTGGCATTCTAGGGGCAACTGAAGCAGCCATGGCAACTGGCCGTATTTGAGAGAACTGAGCCTATACAACATAGTCAAAGCCATTAAAAGGAAGAATAATTGACAAAAATAAAAAATAAAAAAGGAAAGAAACCAAGCCTCACTAAATAGAGCTACATGTCTTCTATGCCAAATGGTCAGTTACAATGGTAACGCTAAGTAAAGGTATGAAAACATCAGAGGAAATACCTGCAACCTGGCTCTTCTATCTTCCTTCCTCTGTGCAAGTGCTACATACAAGGGTTTGCTAACGACCATTTTGCCATTCATCTCCAAAAGCTATCAATTACATCAATGAACTATTACAATCCTTTCAAATTTTGCATCACAAATCATAGGCATGCTTACAAACATTCCTAGATAAATTAAATCATCAATAGAAAAAAGCACATTAACTCACAGCTCTAGATGCCTCTTCAGGAGTTGAGAATGCAACAAATCCAGAACCTCTGCTTATTCCATTAGGGTCACGCATGACCTAACACAAAGAATAACAATAATGATTTAGCCATGAACTGCCTACAACAAAATATAGTTTGCAAAGAGCTAAACTTGAATAGTAAAGATTCCAACCTTGCATGACGTGATAGTGCCAAATGAAGCAAACAGCTCCTTAAGCTTATCATCACCAATGCTGTCATCTAAATTTTTAATGTACAAGTTTGCCCCCTGGTACTTGTCAGCTGCCTCTTTCATAGTTTGTTCAAATCGGTGTTTCAATTCAACTTCTCTTTCAGATTTTTTCTGTGCTTTCCCAACATACCATTCCTTATCCTCAAATACCTTCCCATTAAGAGCATCAACTGCCCTAGCAGCATCGTCAACATTTTCAAAATTAACAAATCCAAAGCATTTTGATTTGCCATCAGCATCCCTCATCACCACAATACTAGTGATTGTCCCAAATTCAGAAAAAACTTTGTTTAAATCTTCTTCAGTAGTTGTCTCAGAAAGACTTTTCACAAATACATTATTAAATTTGGATTTGTCAGCAGCACCATCTCTTTCTTGTTTACGAAGAAAGGGTCCTACATAAACTTGCTTATCATTCAACAGCATACCATTCAACTTCTCAATGGCTTTCTGAGCAGAATCCTCGTTATCAAATTGCACAAAACCATAGCCTTTTGACTGACCAGAGGAATCTAAAGCCACTTTGCAAGACAGGATACTACCAAATGCAGAAAATGTATCGTGTAAAGCTTTGTGGTCAATTGCTTTGTCTAAATTCTGTAAAATTAAAAGGTAAGGTTAACTTCGGAACAAAATCACATAAACAAGAAATAAGCAAAAAGTATATATAAAGAATAAAAATATACCTTGATAAATATATTTCCAGCTCCACTTTTCCGAATGCTTGGGTCACGGTGAGAATACATAACCCTAATAGGCTTTCCATTAAGAGGGGTAAAGTTCAGCACATCCAGTGCTCTAGCAGCTGTTCAAGCAAGAGAGGACTGAATTAGGAATTTAGGAAGAAATATTTGACTTTTAGAGTTCTACACAATATTAAGATGAAGTTCCAGAGTTCTATGTGATATGAAGAAATAATGACTGTAAGATATCTTCTCTTCAAAAAAAATGTCATCCTTCAGCAGGGGCAATGCTAATCTTCTCTATATCGTTCCAATTTTATTGGATGTCCCCGAAGGAACTTCAGAAGGGGAAAAAAAGACGGTAAGATATCTTTGTTTGGATCACAACGTATGATAGTTTCAAATAAAGTTTATATTCCAATGATAAGAGAGGACAAGTAAAGTCCTAACTCTTTGTTCCAGTTCCATCGGTAAGAGGAACTTAAATAACTCAAACCACAACCAAACCATGGAATAATTTACCTACCGGTTGTCAAAAATTAAGGAAACATGCCAGAGGTGCAGAGTAATGGAAAAAAAAATGACTCGTTTTCACATGAAACATAGTGCAAATTACCCAGCTTTTGCACAGCAGAACATTTGCAATACAATAAAGGACATCATCATAAAGTTTATAATAAAATAAGCATCCACGTTTGCTATCTAAATAACACCATTGAATCAAGTTCCGGGTTTAAATTTATCTTACACCATAAATAGAGCATCCACATATAACATTAGTAGACCTACCTAAGAATGAGACTACCAATCATTAACTTAAATTACATACGCTACACAAGACTAACTTGCTTAGATGACCTGCCCATCCATCTAAATAGCATTATTTAATCGAAAAGGCCATGTTTATAAAACATATGGTGCATTCATGCATAATTAACATTCATCATTCTTCAAACAGATATACTTTGTAACGTATAAGACAACATTAGTGTTTCGAAAATCAATCATCAAAGTGTAATAAAATGACCCGCAGCATTCCCCTATCCATGGACCACGAAGGAGGCCCATGTTCCCCAATTCACCAAATAATATAACAAACAGATGTTTCACTCGTCTTCTAGAAAAAGTCCCCATCAGACAGTAAACATCATCAGATATACCTTCAATGCAACCACCCCACCTTCTATAATGACCATCTCCTTTAGTGACACTGATCTAAAGTTTGCAAATAGTTAACCACGGACACGCCCCTCCCAAGAGTTTTTTTCTTTTTCGGAATTGGGCATGCTTAATTACCTTGATATACCAATGATGGACAGGATCCACCCAAAAATTTAGAAAGCTTCTCAGCATTTTACCAGTCCAAGCAACCAACCCAAGCAGCCAAGAAATCTTCACCGCCAAAATTTAACTAAAACCAATATAGAATATTAAACACCACATAGAAGCGAAAAAAGTGAAGGCATACTGACCATCTTGTGGGTTGCTGTAGTTGACATAACCATAACCGAGAGATCGCCGGGTCGTCAAGTCTCTGCAAACCCGAACCGATACCACTTGACCCACCTGATTAAATATATCATAAAGCTGCGAATCCGTGACATTCAAGTCCAGATCTCCGACATACAAAGACGTAGTCACAAACTGATTGGCCCCACCATTCGCCGCCGGATTGATGCCCGAAATGGCATTCTGAGGTTGAGCTTGCACCTGAGCCGCCATACTCGAAATAATTTCACTTCTTTCCTAAAAGAATAAACGTCGAATAAATATATTTTTTGCCTTTTTTATCTCTCACTTCCCTCTCCTCCAGATGTTATTGAGAATCAAACCCTAAGAAGGAATCAATGAACGCCGATTCTTCAGACACTCAAAAAAGGCCAGTAGATCACAACGCACAACCTAACCGGGGAGAAAATCAAAAAACCCTTAGATATTAATCCAAAAGATAAACAACCCCCGAAGGAAAAATCTCCCTACTCCTACAACGAATATATGTTTGGAATTTTTGAAGGTGAGAATGATAATAGTGAGGGAGAGGAAGGATGAGGACCGGATAGATGATCGGAAAGGATCCGATGAGTAGCCGCCGGAGCACGAGGCGGCGCGTTACGCAGAGAGAGCGACGAGACGGAGACGGAGACGGAAAAAAAAAAGAGAGAGAGAAAACGCGAGGGTTTGGAGGGCAGATGAAACTGCACTAAAAGAAAGGGGAAGTTGGGGAAGTGGAGAGGCCTTATATATGGGGGCAGCCATGGGTAAACCCTAAAGATAAAATCTTTGGACGAAATCTCCGCCGTCCATCTCAAGCTTCTGTGGGCCCATCTGACGAGGTCAAGTCGGGAACCCGTAGGTAACTGGTAACGGTAACTTTTTTCGGTCGGTAGTGACGACGAAGAAAAGAGAATCCCAACAAAAGGAAAATATATATGTATATATATAATCTGTTATTATTATTGTTATTTTCGAAATAAATATTTAAAAGAATCTGATAAAAATGGGAAAAAAGGAGTTTTAGGGATGCGATTGTACGAATGGGCGTCAAAGGATGACCAAAATGAATATGATTTCAATAACTTTATTCCAAAACATTAATGTTATAAACTAATAATTATTGTGCTTTTATTTTATCATTTAATGTTTGAATTAATATTATGTGCTTTAAGGTTTTTTTTTATTACGACAATTGAGGTGGAGATTCAAACTTTTCAACAACATGTGGAAGTGAATATTTAAACACACAACTTTTTTTGTGGGTAATACATGACTTAATCAATTAAGTTAGACTCAAGTTGGTATTTCATATGTATATACCTTAACGAACAACTTTGCATATTATCCTTAAAAACAAAACAAAAAGTTACTTGTGATAAACTTTTGACATACATACAAAATATATGAGAATGGTATAATTGTATTGATGTTATGGTTTGTGCAATTACAATATTTGTTCAAAAAATTAGTTTTGACTTTATACTTCATAGGATAATTTGATCCCTTATGTATATTTTTGTTAGCGAGGGTTGATAAGAAATTCAAAATGAAATAACTGAAATATTAAATAGAAATTATTAGAAGAAGTTGATAAATATCATATAACAATAGACAACCACGGACCAGAACTTGTTTTATAACATTTAAATTTTCATATAGCGAAATTATAATTTATTTTAGTTCAATAATTGTGAGAGTGGAAATTGAATCATTGATTCGTATGATGATAATATGCATCTTGTTCAATAAAATACGTTCCAATTGACAATAAATGATATATAATGTGTATATGAACACGTCATGTAACATAAATAATGCATTCAAGTAACGCAACAAACATATTACCTTCCCTTAGAAAAAATAAAAGACATTATTTGATATTCCTGAATATTTTATTATTAAAAGACATATTATTTGATATTCCTGAATATTTTATATTTATTTATTTATTTGATAAACTGAATATTGATTTTTAAGACCAATAATATGCAAATGCTTAATATTATATTTTCTTAAAGAACAAAATTTCTAAAAATTCACTGTATTTAGTTCCACTTCCGTTAGATTTTTTTTAAACAAACTCGTCCAGTATTTCTCTATCATATATTTGAATATCGGAACCGTATTCCCTTTATTTAAATTACTCTTTAGTTATTTTTAGGTGTTATAAATTTGATTATTATAGATTTTCGATTAATTAAATCTTACTTACCATCTGATTTAAGATTTTTTTAATTTAATATTCTTTAAAAAAAGATTGTTTTAATTTAAGATTTTTTGTTTTAATTTTGTATTTAAAACTCAACCTCATGGCTATTTTGTATTATAGATAAATTTGTCCGAAATAAAATTATAAATTGAAAAAAAAATCAGTTGTCCAATTTTATTATATATATATATATATATATATATATATTTTTTTTTTTTTTTNCCTGTGTTAGCCCCGGAATAAAAATCTCAATCACGCAACTTATCAGAAAAAGATAATAATAAATAAATCAAAATTGCCCGGTCGTCGTTCGAAATAACGTCACTTCATATAGATTTATTTTTCGTTTTCCTCATCGGATTCCTCGGTTAATTTCCTCCAATGACACAAACCCACGTGGACTTTCTGTTTGTTTGATTTTTCGTAGTTTTTCTCGACGAGGATGTAAAATATAAATAGATATCAAGATTATTATTTTTTTCAATTTAACAAACTATACATTACATTTGTCGATTTAGCTTGTCTGTGACGTCACCAACTCACTTAAAATTTATAGAAAATTCATAGAGATACAATGTTCGACGTACGTGGACAAAATTTATAATTATAATATGTTGATTTATATTCTTAATTTAAGTAGTGACCCAAAATTGGAATATAATTTTGATTTTAAACTGAGTATAATAAATGTATGAGAAGAATTTCCTAAAATTTATGGAGAAGAACGTGTCAGAAGTGTTTTGTTTTAGAAGCACGTTTAGTTAAGTAAACGTGCTATTAATGCTGAAATTTTATGAGTGAGCATGATCGATCTATGAAAGAATAAGGCCGATCTATGATAGAGAGGTGTGCGAAGGAAGACTTACACAATGAAAAGTAGATACTTCAACGTTCGGATCAGTCTTAATCTAAAGTACTATTCTCAAAACGAGCTAGTCATAGTTGCTTTTTCAATTGGAAGTAGATGATATGTAAATTGTCACGTCCCTGAAAACAAGCGCATACAAGTCTTAATATGGGTGTAACTTCATAAATCAAATAACAATACCTATATTGTCCTCCCGTTTAATCTTACAAAAAATAAATTTGCAATAAAGAGGTTCAATAGTGAAAATGGAGCCAACATGAGCTCAACGATAAAAATATATATAGAGATTTAAACTTTCGATCATTTACCTCTTAATTGAAAACTAATATATTACAAGGTTACCTATTCCGTTGGGTATGTTTAATTTTTATGGATGTATCGACATTCCATCATTTGTGGATTTGAAAAATTACAACAAAACCCAACAAATAGAAATCATAATAAATAGGAAGGAAATAACTATGTCATTTGACAACAACATGGGAAGTCAAAGAGTAAATTAAAAAGACTCCTTTTTATCTTCCTTCGATAATAATCGGACCATATGTATAGGCCCGTTGTTTTTTTTATTTAAACTAATAATAACAAGCCCAATAATAATTTAACTTGAAAATCTATAAAATCTTCCTAAATCCATTATGCATCAAAAAAAAAAAAAAAACCTAAATCCAATAATAGAAAAATCATAAATCCAACCGGTTTTAATTTAATGAATTGCCAACTTGAACATAGTTACGCATTATAGTATTTATGTCTGAATCGACTCCACAATCTCACATTTTGTACTAAAAAAAATTATGTTGAATTTAAAATCATAGATAAGAAGATAGGAGGACCCGACAGAAGTACGAATTTTGTTGTTCAGATAATCATATCGGTTATATTAAGGAATCCAATGAACAACAACGATTACTTAGGATCAGTTTGCGGGTGTGCTTCATGTCATATATATGTCCGCTTCATAAATGAAAGTCAGCCTTTCATGGGATGTCTGATGAGACCATAGTCGAACCTAAAGGGAAATAACTTTTCCTTTGCTGCAGGGTCGAGGAAAACCATTCAAGCACCGAGGACTGCAGTCAACCACTTCCCATATAGTTGGTTCTTGACAGATTATTGATTTGGAAGGAGAAAATGAAATACAAACAACCACACTGGTCGTAATAAATTGCATACGATTCGTACAAAGACTCCTAAATCCATTCCGAACCTTTTCTTCCACATCTACTCTCTCAGACTAACCTACGAATGGTTGTGAAGTCAGATCAGATACGAAGAATGAATCTATATATGTGTATGAAAGTTACTGGCCGACGGCAAAAAACTCGCTAAACTTCGTTTCCTTTTTTCAATAAGTAGAAAATCTTATAACCTAGACTAAATATTCTCTTATTTTATAATATAACTCAACTGATTCAAATATATATATAAGTTGTTTCTTTTAATCCCCAAAGAGTCGAAAACACCGACATCACACATTGTGACCTGTGAGTGCGAACCGCGTAGGTCCGCCCATTTAATTAAAGTCTCACTAAGCGTTAAATATCTCCGACCAACCAGTCGGAAATTTTCTCTCCCTTTAACCCATTTTTTCCTCGGGAAAGTGTTGCTTCCTTACACGCAACGGAAGCTAATTACAACCTAATTTTCCGATCCACTGTTCATTCTGAATCTCTCCGGTTGTAATTCTCTTCCGTTCGGTAGATCAGCCATTGATTCTTCTTCCAACTATTCTCTTCCCAGATTATTGTATTCCTTGTTTCCATCTGCCCAAATCTCTGTTACTCAACGCGCAGCCGCCAGAATGAGCTCCATATCTCTCTCCAATTCTCATGCTCTCGCGCCGGCTTATCATCATCCGCTGCCTCAATCTCAGCGCCGGCAATGGCATCGCCGGCATCTGCTCTCGTCTAATCCTCTCTCTAGGCTACACTGGCTTGGGATCTCCGACCGACAGTACTCCGCCAGACCTCCCGGGCCTCTGGTTCTAGCTTCCTCAGGTGCCGGCGTTCTCAACTCTTTTCCGGTGTGTTATTTCTTTCTCGCAGCTTTGCGCTTGCTCTAATACTTGCCGGTTTAATGTAATGTAATGAATGTGCTGTTGGTCTTTGTAATTACTTCATATATCAAATCTCTTCGCCTAATGAAGATTTGTATTGTATGTTTGTTTGTTCTATGCGAACAACTATGAAATTAACTGCAAAAAATTGCTGCCATTTTGGTTGTGAAGTAATCGAAAGATTGTACTTCTCCTTTATGATGTTCATCGAAGGAAAAGAACCAGCACCGTTTACGTTTAAGCTGAAAATTGTATAATGGAACATAAAACCAAATCAGACGCTCGAAAGTCCTGATTAACAATTATCAGCCTCGTCCGTGCATATGTACTGTTGTCTAATTGCTACATATATCATGTATGGCATTGTTGTTTATAATTTATGTTGAGGGAGGGAGAGTTTGGGGAAATAGCTTGTCAATGGCTATTTTAGACCTTCGGTTTGATATTTCTGTTTGACTGTGTGGCCATCAATATTTTGCTCTTATTTGAATTGGTGATTTCCAGCTCAGAGCTGGAACATATACGGTCGGCGATTTTATGACGAGAAAGGAGGATCTTTATGTTGTGAAACCTACGACAACAGTTGATGAAGGTGTGGTTGATTTACGGTTATATTTTAATTATTTTTATTAGAGTTGCTCATAGTTAATTAATCGGCTTTCGTGGTTACAGCATTAGAGGCACTTGTGGAAAAGAGGATAACTGGTTTTCCTGTTGTCGATGAAGATTGGAATTTGGTAGAGTTTTCCCTTGAACCTTTCCGTGCTTCTTGCAAGTATTTTCAAATTGCCAGCTTACTGTGGAAGTGAACTACCGTAGTCCAATGATATTGTTGGAGAGAGGAGGGGAGCTTCTGTTTGTTGTCACTGAGAAACATACAAAATTTCATCACATTTTTTATTTATTTTATGAG